CACAGGCTTGATGGATGGTTGTGGAACCTAGTGGTGGATGCCAGTGCTCTGATTACTGGAAATGCAATCTCATGTCCTAAAATTGCCTCTATGTCTGATTCAATTAATTTGGCCACACCAGCCTCTAATGTAATTTCTCACAGGAGTCGAACGAACCACCCCGGGGCGCATGGACTTGAAAGGCTGCTCACAGTTTTGGGACATTCTGGTTGGTCCTGATAAAGCCTCAATGACAGCTTTTGGGTTTTCTTTTTCCTAATACACCAAGATGGACAGCTATATTTTTTTGCTATATACACCATGAGGTGAGAGCAGATTCACTGCATTCTGTTACTCTTCTGCTCACCAGTTCAAAACCAGAAAAGAACTAATTACACCATGATATCACTTCATAATCCATCTTCAGTGTCACTATTTAGTGAGGTAGGACAAAACTACCCCATGCAACAATAAGTCTGTTCATCCCCTAATATAATGGAGGCACCTGTCACTAGGATTGCTTTCCTTTCTGTTATATGATTATTTTCACCAGAGACTAAAAGTTATTGTTCAGTGAAGTACAAATATAAGCATAAAGAGAAAAAGAAAGAAACATTAACAATGCATGGGAAGCTTGGGTTGGAAAATATAGGTGACTAGGTTTAGGATATTTCCACAAGAACTGAGAGCAAAATATAAGGATGTAACTAAATCTATTTTTTTTTTCCAGATCCTGAATCGTACATCGTATGCATAGAGAAATCCCTACTGGAAAATATATTAAACAGGTACTGTATAAGCGTGTCATGTTTTCCCAAACCACGTGGTATTCTTAACTGCTGGATAGCTCAGTGGTGTAGATCTCTGGCTTCAGAGTTGGAGGCTGGGAATTCAGTCCCCAACTGTGTCTCCCTGACAGGGCCTGAAGCCAATGATTCATAGGATTATTAAACTATAGTATCTCTAGCAACAGCATTTTCCAGTTCTAACCCTCCACCATTGCATGAATGACTGCCTGAAGCTTGGCAGGTGCCAATAGCATTGTAGAGTTTCCTGCCTCTAAGCTTTGCTTTTTACCTCAAAGACGAGCCTCTAGGATCAATACCATATTGTAATGTATGGACTTAAGGAGAATCAGCATTTATAATCAGCCTGATTTTCTTTAGTGGCTTGAATGTTCAAATGTTTGATAGACAAGTACGGTGAAGTTTGAGGTTCCCTGCCATTTCTTTTCCTCGTCCAAGGACGTTTTAAGGCAAGGGAGTTGACTCTTTTAATAAATAAACACTTTTCATAAGTAAACTACAGGTCTACATAGAACTCAAAGTTGGCGGAGATTTCTTTGAAAGTCAGGGTGGTTTGTTCAAAGCGTAAGAATGCTATCTAAACAGAGGCTGATCAAATGCTCCCTTAAAAGTATTCATATACTTTTAATTTTAGAGTTGTCATGGATTAGCTGGGTTTAAAGGTCCAACTGCTACACAACTCACAACCAGACTAGAGGTGATATATACAACAACCTTTCTCCCTTTAAAACCCCCTTTCCAAAGCAGGTTAATTTTTAAGTGACACTAAGCCAGTGCAGCATTTGAAATTGTGAAGTTGGGAGTCCTCAGATGCAAAAAAGCAAAATGTGAACTTTCACTCTTTCGTTAATAGTTGCTCAAAATATGGTCCATGGTGGCTTCTCAGGCGATAACTGCTGCCAGGAGTTCCATGCAACTTATCATGTGAGGTATGTCACTTAGTAAATCCCCTTGAAATCATCAGTTTTGTTAGCTTGCTTTGTGTCCTCCCATTGTCTAGAATCATCCTGACCTAGACACCAATATCAGCACATACCAAACAACTCACTCCAGATCAATAACACCCCCCCCCAAAAAAACCCAGCCTGATCATTGCTCTTCCTTTTCCATTCTTCCGTTGCCTTTACCAAAAACCAGATCTGCTCATTATCTTCTCTGCTCTATTAGCTTAGCTGGGTTGCTAAGAGAAATGTGCACAATTAATTGTGACAGAAAGATCTGATATGTAAGTCCAGCTCCTCACAGATATTGTATAAGGAAGCTTATAAGCATGTGCTCATTGAATGCCCTTTTGCTTAGCCTAATAAAAATGATGCGCTAATATGAATTTTGGAACTGTACTTTATAAATCTCTGTATCTCCAAGAGGATCTTCATGTTTTGAGCAGGTTTTTTAGAGGATGGGCATATTCACCAATGGAAACTGGAAGTGGTGAGAGACTCCAGAATAATTTCTCTGTCCTTTTAGTCCCACAGACTGCAGAGTCCACAACTGCATTTATACAACTTGGGACACAAGTGTGCGTGCAGATAACCAATGTGCATTTGCATTTTTCTGCAGAATTGAATATCTCAAGAAACACACCTCTCTTCTCTTTCTCCCTCCCAAAGCAGAATAGATAGATAGATAGATAGATAGATAGATAGATAGATAGATAGATAGATAGATAGATAGATAGATAGATAGATGATATAACCAAACCACCAACCACAGGGCCAAGATCAACCAAACAACTTAACAAAGAGTCTTCCAAGGAAAGAAAGAAAAGCAGGTGGAAGAGATGGCTTCTAATGCAGTATTTCTACACAACTGCTTGTTTCTAGTATAGAAATCGCTGATTGGCTACTGTGGCAGAATGATGCACGAGAGCAGTGGTTACCAACCTTGGGTAACCCAGGGGTTCTCAGACTCCAACTCTGAGAAGTTTTCAGCGGTAGATGTGATGGTTGCGATTTCTGGGAACTGCAGTCCAAGAACCCCTGGGTTACCCAAGGCTGGGAACCACTGCACTTGACAGACCCCAGACACTGTTTTAAAATGGAGACAGCTTCTTTGGAGTTGGATGGAAAGGATGTTCAAGGAGCAGTTTAGGATTGCTGCTCTGATTATGAGTTTCCATCTCTGAGCAAGGATTTGAATGGAAAGGATGTTCAAGGAGCAGTTTAGGATTGCTGCTCTGATTATGAGTTTCCATCTCTGAGCAAGGATTTGAACCCAGGTCTCCTGAGTCCAAATGTACCACTCTATCCACTACACCGTACTGGCTCTCACATGCCACATGGATGCATCATTTAAAAACCAAGAAAGTGTACTTTGGTTTATCTGTGTGCAAAGTTACACAGATTCAACCAATCCATCCATATAACTGATACAATGAACTGGTTTGGTGACTTCAACTATATGACTGGAAACCCAGTTCACCAAATTGCATCTGTCTTCAAGTTCACTCAGGTACGTTCCTGTTTACTACAACCCCAAGAGGGCACCTTGGGTAGCATGACTGTTTGTGAAGAATATTGTGCTTTCTCTGTCACTGATTCTGAGTAACTCTCTTCACACTTCTGAAAGTAGCTATCTTCACAGAACAGACACTCCTGGGGAAAGAAGTAATTTCATTTGAAAAGTCCAGTGTGTTTTCTGTCATTGTGGCAGAACACATTTGGAATTTGCCTGAAGAGAGCCAAGGTGCCATGCTGGCCTTGGTATGCTAATACTCGCTAATCCATGCCCTGCCTCAGAACTTTTCCAGTCACCATTTCAAAAAATGTACTTGAGCACCATGGTGAAAGATGACATGGGCACCAGTTAATCAACAAGAAACCACTGATACATCTGCAGCTCTCACACATCTGTGGTTGTGCAGTGGCAAGATGCTGAACACCAATTAGAAATAAAGGGTATTAACTTCATCCTCTGCGTTTGGACTTTCTGAAAGTCTCAAACTAGTCACAAGGGGAAAGAAGCTGGGTTACATAGACTCTAGCTTTCATCAAGCAAGGCGGTTTATGCATTTATAAGGTGTACACTTTTTAACACACAATTTCAGACCACAAATAAACTGTCCCGCTTCCCATATTGTATTATTTCATGTTGCAGCCTTTCTACTATTACATTAAGCACTATGGACCTTCCTACAATGCATTACAGATAGTCAAACATCACTATGTTTTGATTTTTCTCATCATGCATTTGATAGTGCCTGCTTATCGTTATGCATGCAAATACCCTGCAAATACATGAAAATCTCAATTTCATTATCCTACTACTATACGACTAAAGAAAAGAGCAAAAGAGAGAGGAGAGAGGAAAATTAAACTGAATAGTGTGTGAGTAGTTGATTAGCTGCTTAATTACAAACCATGAGAGTTGGTATGGACAGCCATCAAGGGAATCTGTGTCTTCATTTAACAGCTTCACAATATTGATTGGGTCTAGATATTTGGCTCTTTAAATGCCAATTATAGTCAAATAAACATAATGAGATTTGAGTTGTTTGTTCATCACATTTTAATGCAGATGACAATCACTGCTCTGAATTACTTGCGAACTTCTGAAATGGAAGATGTATCTCAAACTAATTAGAAAAATCCAAGAAAGTCTAAGACAAGTCTTAGGGACATATGCTCCAGTATTCTCTCAGTTTACATGCCTGCACTAGAGATTTCCAGCCTGATCTAAGCAACAGAGGCCTACAGAAATCACTACTATTTCTACAAGCTTTCACTATTTAACTAAATATGGGGCTTATGATAGAACACCCTAATGCTCTAGTGCTTACTGGTGTCCCAATGTAACTAGTTACCCAACATTTTGTTAAGTTTAATGTTTGAAACACGAACACACTTCTATTGTGCTTTCTCTCTTGGATAAGGTTCAGAGATAAACGTAGCATCATCATGGTGGGAAGCAGCCTGTAATTTACCATGTCTTGTAAATGGCAGTGAATAAGTGTTGTCATCTAAACCAGTCTTGGTAACTGTTAAGTTTCAAAGCACAAAAATGTCTGCTGGCATGTGAGACTGAGAACTAGAAAACCAACACCAAATATGAAAAAAAAAGAGTATTCCTTTTTTCCCCTAGTTTAGCCAGCAGAGGGGGACATGGACTCAGTAGGACGTGTGGCAGGCCACATCACAGAGGAGGAACCTTGTCTGGTCCTTTGCGGATTCTTCATGACACAAAAGCTGGAGGGAGAAAGGAAAGTAAAGGACATACCTGCTCTCGCTGTAGTCCTTCTTCTCCCTCACATTCAACCACTTGCGCAGCAAGAAGCGTTTGCGTCGTGGAGAGGCGCTGGGTGTGGAACAGTTGGACCAGGGTGTGTCCTCGTCACTAGAAGGGGTGATTTCAATGGAAGGAAGCTGCAGGAAATCCTTGTTGGCGGAAGGCGCCGCCTCTAGGCTCTGCTCTTGGACATTCCTGGTGCGCCTCATCCTGAACCGCCTTCGGCGCACGGTTGGTGTGGAGGAGCTGGACCAGGCACGGGTGCACTCTGCCGCCTCTTGCTGCTCCGGCACTTGAAGGGCTGGGAGCTGGACGGCCTCTGTCATCTTGGCAGATGGTATCAGGTCCTTGTCACTTCTCCTCCCCTTGCATTTACTCCAATTTCTCTCTCTTTCTCACACCCCCCACCTTCGTGACCTCAGTGCAAATCACATGAAAGAACTAAAATCCACCTTGCTCCCTCTGTACCCACGTTGGCACCCTCCGTCCTTCTCCAAGAGGAAATCTCATGTTCCTCAGGTGGTTTCATTGAACATGAAACAGCTCCACGGCCATGAAGCTAGCCACTGTAGAGTCTCTTCAGTTTCCTTACCGAGACCTAGGAAGAACTTTCTCCTTGTGCCCTGCCTGGCTCCTTCGAGGCAGGTGTGGTAAATGTTTGGCATCAGGGACGAAACCTGGAGCCACCAGCAGCTTCTCTCAGCTCTGGTTCGCTGTGTTTCCAGCAGTCATCTCCTGCCGTGGATGAATGACTCCTCCGGGGCTCTGCTGGAAAAACTCTTCATCTGCCTCCGCTCTGGAGTGAGTGAGAGGAAACGGCACAGAGAGCTAGGAGGGGGGGATCGGAGAAAGAGAAGGAGAGAGAAAGAAAGAACAAGGGACGGGAGGAAGGAAGCAGGGAGGAAGGGGGAAGGATAAAACTGGCAAAGGAGGAGAAGTGATGGGAGGGCAAGTTTGTTGACCTCTCTCCCTCCCACCCACCCACGGCAGAGTGAGCAGCTGATACAAGCTGAGGCAGCTGCTGCAAGTGTAACCATACTCTCTTAACTCAAGGGACAAGGTCTTTCTTACTGAAAATGCTGCTGCTCCAATCAGCCACACGAAAGGCAACAAGGGGTGGGGGTATAAAACAGATCTTTATACAAGGCAATTGGCTGGATTCCCCTTCCGTCTCCCTCGTGGAGGCGAGATGTCCCACCCTGCAAAAGCAGGGGGGGGGGGGGGAGGTGACCTCCAGGCTCATGAGTTGTAAGTTTGGTTTTGCCTCTCTCTGTGCGCCTGCTTTATTTCTTATCACAGAAAGTGGAAGAGAGGAAGAGGCACACACAGGAGGGGTTCCCAAGGAAATGCTGCCAGTTAGAAGCCTAAATGGCTTTTTAATTCAGTGCTAGAGGGGGTGGGGGGGGAAATAGCCACTCACCACCCTGTTTCACCAGAAATGAAATCTGAAGCAAATCAAACACGAAGATGGCAGGGAATTCCTGAACAGAATTTCACGCGGTGAAGTTGATCAATTTTTGCCTGACACAAAAGTCACCAATTTTGTAGGCACCCTTTTTGGGTAAAATATCTGAGAGTGCAGACAAGTTGAAAGAGTTTTGATGGACCTTCAGGAAATTGCCTGACATTTTGCACAGACCCCTAAGGAAATTTCCACAGGGAAAGAATGTTAGCAAGTGATAAAGACAGGTGTTTTTTGTTTGTTTGTTTTTTGGCAGGCAAGGGACTGCTTCCAAAATGACAATGTTTAGGTAAGAGAATTTTTGGTTCAGAAAGAATGGTGGATGGCATACAGAGAGACCTAAGCACGTAGGATGAGACAGTGGGAAAGAACATGGCAACACCTCCGAGTCTTACAAGCAGAACACACTATAAGAAATGATCTTGCAATCGTAACACAACCTTTTGCTGAGAGTCTGAGAAATACAACTACACTAATTAACACATCACTGACTGAGGGTTGTCGAGATGCATGACTTTTGCCCCATAGTTCCGGCTTACTTAGTTGTGCTGGTCTCGGAGGAGCAAGCGGAGATGTTGACAAGTGTTTTGCCCTGTCGCTCGATGGCAGACAAATTCTTCACGAAATAAACTAAGCTTTGTCTAACTGCCTTCATGGTTGGGTCTGCTCTGAGAATTGGTTGAGAGAAAGGGAAACACAGATGTAATGAAGATGCAATGTATACTATTTGGTACCTCACACACTCCGATGGGATGCCTATTTCCTGCTTCACGAGGATTCACTAGCTACTGATTTTAATGTGGTCAAATCTTGTTTGTGGCCCCCAGACATATGAATTTGACACACTCTCCTTAAAGATATCTTTCTCACTTTCCTAACTGCCTCTTTGCAGTCAGTAACTAGCAGGAGAACATGCCTCCTGACCACAGTTTATTCATAGAAAATTCACTGTAACGATTTGGAGCTTGGCATCTAGAGAAGACGTCAACAGTATATGAAAAAGGTCTTTGGAGCATCATGTAGAAAGAAACAAACAGGAGCATCAAGCTTCAAATGCTTGCACAGAGGAACTCTAAAGAAACGTAACCTTGCAACACAACACACATTAACACAAGGAGTCAGACATGAGTCATGTTGTCTTTCACCGCATGAGCAAGGAAGGTTCTCAGGTGGTTTGGTTCTGCCAAAGCAGGCTTCCATCAGGGCTGTTTTACTGTACCAAGGCTAAACAGAAATGGAAGGAAAGGTACTGAAAGGGAATTGCCAACTAGCAAGTTATTTTTATAGTACAAGGATGATTTTAGCCTCTGCCTCCCTAGCTGATGCGCAGTTTGCCATTTCTATGCCCAATTTATAACCACCAACTCATTGTGGTGAAGACTCATCACCACGTGTGTGTCAGATGTTTGAGATGGAAAGTGTGGCTTTGAAACAATGGTAATGTCATTTTTGAGAAATCGCTATGTCCTTAGCAGAACAACATTTTCCAGGTTCTCTGAATGGAAAATACAACAGTACAACGAGCTTCAAATATAGGTAGATCTGCTATTAAAAGATGCCCTCAGAGATAAGATATACAGCACAGCAACCAACATTTTGCTGTCGTAATCAGGTATGTGTAATAAGCACACTGTTATCACCATCCTGTTTTAAGGTTGTTCTATCATTATATTACTTAAACACAAAGTGACTTGTGGGCTTCTAGTGGCTGAAAGCCAGGATATAAAAGTAAAACTCAATAAAATAATAGTGACTTGAAGAGTATCTAAAGACACCACCACTTTCTATAAGAGGCTTCCGCCATTTTTCTCCTTCCATTCCTCATTCCCAGTACTAGTTGTTTCTTGATACGGGATGTTTTCTAAGCAGATTTTTTTCATTACTAGGCAACACTTACTTGTGCCATAACATTCTGTGTCACTTTTTAATTTTGGATAGAGGGCACTGGACACCTGTTTGGTGCTCTTTGAAACCCAGGAGGTAATGTAACTCGAGAGGCCGGACAGCTTGCCTAACCGGAAGGCGTGGAGAATACTAGCAGCAGAAAACTGCTTCTGTTTTATTAGATGAAAAAGACTGGTGTCATTTCAAACGCAGACCTATCTTTCTCCTAAACAATGTAAGAACCTGCCTGCCTGCCTGCCTGCCTACCTACCTACCTACCTACCTACCTACCTACCTACCTAAATAAATAAATAAATAAATAAATAAATAGATTTTCAGTGGTTGCTCCCATCCTGGAGAATAAATACGGAGGGAAAAGATACTGCACTTCCACCTGAAGCAATCTTCTATTTTATTTTATTATTTTATTTAAGCTATTAACCCACCTGTATTCTTTAAAAGGGACGTGGTGGCGCTGCAGGTTAAACCGCAGAAGCCTCTGTTCTGCAAGGTCAGAAGACCAGCTGTCGTAAGATCGAATCCACACGACAGAGTGAGCTCCCGTCGCTTGTCCCAGCTCCTGCCAACCTAGCAGTTCGAAAGCATGCAAAATGCAAGTAGATAAATAGGTACCACTTCTTTGGGAAGGTAACAGCGTTCCGTGTCTAGTCGTGCTGGCCACGTGACCACGTAAACTGTCTTTGGACAAACGCTGGCTCTATGGGTTGGAGATGGGGATGAGCACCACGCCCTGGAGTCGGACACAATTGGACTAAATGTCAAAGGGAACCTTTACATTTACCTATTCTTTAAATGACCCAAGACCGCTTACAACAATAAAAATAAAGCATTTAAATTAATAACAGTGAGTATTTAATGCTAAAATAATCAATGAATGAAATATCAGAAAACATCAGCAACACTGAAACACATTCAATGTACAGCAATCCATTTTTAAGAAACCCTAATCGGCGGCCATTCACTCAGGAAAAGCTTGTCTTCACCTGCTTATGCAACGACAGTAAAGATGGGCCCAGCCTAGCTTCCTGTGGGAGGGAGTTCCAGAGGTTGGGAGCAGCCTCAGAGAAGGCCCTCTCCCGTGTCCCCACCACATGCACCAGTGAAGGTGGCAGGACCAAGAGAAAGGCCTCCTCTGATGATATTAACACCCACGCCGGCTGGTACTAGTGGGATAAGTCTTCTAGACAGGCCTTCTGGAAGTTTGGTACCAGTTCCAGCAGATGGGAAAGAGTAGCTTGGGCACTTCCACCCAAGAGATTTATATTTTTCTTTGAGCCTCCATTTGCAGTGTGAAGAGGAAAACTTCCATAGCTTCTACTACATGAGAGAGAGGTATTTGTAACATAAATCAGCATTCTAGCCAGTTGCATTATAAACTAACTGAAGGAAGAGTAGCTTTCTGCCTCGTGTTTAAAAGAAAAATGCCCCTACAGGCTCTTTGGCATTGCTTTGCTTTTTTCATACAGAAAAAATGGCATATTAATTATCCATGCTGTAATCCGAACACTGTGCAAAACTGCTGACTAGAACTCTCCCATTGCACATTCACATTCGTGTTACAATGCTCTTGCTAATATAAGTACAGATTCTTGCTAGCAAAATAGCAAAAGAGAAACTATAATGTCGTTTAAGCCTCTCTGGTGGAACATTCTCTGAGCAGAACAAAAGGAAAATGTGCAAGCCATATATTCTGCTTATCGCACACATGTGTACAGTTCTGGAGTCTGTAGCAAATTAAAATGGAAACACTGCACCAGCAACATCTCCTGCCACTTTTATAACAATACGGGATATACTGCAGTCCTACTTATTAAGGGGTGCCATTTGATTCCTGGCAGTTTCTAACCATGATTTTTTTTCTGACTACTTGCAGAAAGGAGGAGAGGTAGCCTTTCTCTCCAAAGCTCAGTAGATCTCTCAGACCTGCATAGTACTTTCGCCATGGGTCACAGCTCGCAGCGCACACACCATTAATCACAGGAGAACCAACTTGCAAGTACAAAAGGTCGAGCAACAGCACATTTTTCTCTCGACATGTGAAAATATCTGCTCGGCTAACCCATACTCTGGTGGAGTTTATAACAGAAAAGCCAGCAGCCCTTACAAAATCGCCATCTGCCCTTCAATAATAATATGCACATATGCTAGAGGCAGGTTCTTTAGCATGCCACTTTGCTATGGGATCAGTCACAGAGATCAGTGGAATGAACTCTCACCAAAGCTGTCTGTCCAGAAGCTTTCCTTATTCTCTTTAAGAATTTTCTTTGGGTAACTCTTTATTCAGTTCAAAAGAATACAAAAAAAAGAGAAAAATTTGGTAATTTGTAATCAGATTTGTAATAATGATGTTGGTTCTAATCTGCTCAGCAGTTGCCACACTACTAAATAAATAAAGGAGGAAGCCATTGCCACAGAGAAATTTTGTAATTTGTAATCAAAGATGCTGCTTCTAATCTGCTCAGCAGTTGCCACACTACCTCCCAGATCCACATCTCTTAAGTTCTTTGCTTTGCAAACAAAAATCAAAGAAGCCATGGGCCACA